AAGTCTATCACCGTCAGTTGACTCTCACAATAATCAGAAGGTTTGTTTCTCCTTACCGTCCCGCGACTACACATCCGCAGCTGCCACCACCGCACACGATGATGTCGAACTCATCGGGCAGGGTGCCGACGCTGTTCGTGTACGATGCAGCCATGTTGGAGCTTATTCAGATCAAAAAGACAATTGTTGAAGAAGTTTCTTGTTGAGAGTGAAGTATGACTGGAGATGAAGGTCCATGACCTCCTTTATAGATCCCCTCAAAGGCAATACGATGCCGAGTTTACGTCGAAGACGATCCAAACAGGACTTGAGATGCCGAGAGACCTCCGCGAGTCAAGCCTAGATGCGCAATCATGTCTGAAAGGAGATATCCAAGCGCTCATCTTCGCATATGGTTCCGATGCGGGCACCAATCGAAGACGCATCGCCACAGGTCATCTGGGGAGGGAGTATGGTTTCATTATCCCATCAGCTCGAGAAGCACTGGCCAAGTGTGTACTGTTCAGGGTGTGGTTGGACCAACGGGTTGGCTTGGCTGCATTCGTGGGTAAGGGAGTGATCTGCCGGACGAGCTTGTGTGCCATGTTGAGCGGGCGTTCCAAGGCTTGACCCTGTCCAGGGAAGTGTCTGAGGGTGTTATCGTGTCAAGAATAAGCTCGCACTCTGTTCTTGAGCTCCTTCTTTCTCACTCAGAGCTCATTCCTTCTCATCCAGAGCTCCTCCTCTCTCCCCCTGAGCCAATTGCTCACTCTCTTCTCCCCAGTCTCGTATATCGATATCCGCACCCCAAGATCATGACTCGACCTGTCACAATTGACCCACGCAAGCCGTCCTGGGCAAACCGTCTCCGCACCATCCCACGCCTGGCAAAGATGGATCAGGAAGTCCCATCTCCCCGAGCCCCCGGTGCTCATAGCTGCAATCCCACCACTCACGTCAAGCCAAGGAGGAATAACAAGCCCCTTCTAACCCATCAAATTACGACGTCCCCCGCGGGGTCACACACGCCAAGGACGCCCATGGGTCCTATCTCCAGTCTTGTCACCGGACGAATAACCTCCCCCCGGTCCCCCGCAAGGTTCCACTTCTCCCATGTACCCCAGAATGCGGGGAGAGCTTTGCCGATCTCTCTTGCCAGATTCTCGGCAATCCAGGCAGGCTGTGCTCTTTTATTTGGGACACGGAGGTGGTCTTACGAGAGAATGACTAACCGAGCAAGTGCAGAGGCTGTGCCCCAGAGAAGCAGACCAAGAGTCCAAACTCGAGTGATACTGCATATGCACAAGACTGGGATTTGCCTGTCCAAGGCGGGGTAGGTTCAAAAAGTATAGCTCCTGAAAATAGCTTGTCCTGTTCTGCCGGGTTAACGAGGCCGAGCATTCCGGCCGCAGGTAGGAGCCCGATGTGACAGTCTGGCGGCTGCTGTTGTTTGTGTCTCCTCTGGCTAGCGACGGTAGTACGACGACGACCGTACGTACAATGACTCGCAGTCTATTGTATCACGGGAGGTCTGGAAACGTGCCCAACGGGTGCTGCGGGCGCTAAGCCGTCCAAGCCAGCCCCAATACTGTGCCATGCGTCCAACGCGCGCACGCAGATCTGTATGCGGAACTCGCCACGGAACAAAGACATCAGGGAGTTTGTTTTTGACGGGGACGTAAGCGGCAACGATAATCCGAGGCCCTTTGTACATCCCTCGTTTTCGTGCCCTGCGTCTCTGTTTCAGTTTACCTTTTGCAATTACATTTCCGTCTCCCTTTTCCGTCAATATTTTTTCTTTCCTCGACAACGGGGGAACAAGCTACCCCGCAAAAAAAGACTGGCTGCCACGTGTTGTACTAAGTTAACGTCGATTCCCCCCAGCGTATTCCTGGGGAAGTAAGCGCTACTCCCCCGGCTTCGACATGTCCGAAGGTCCATCCTTGCCGGCCGGTGGCTGCTAGCCCGCACCCCGTGCGGAGCCGTCGCCGCAGCTCTCAGGTGTGAGAGCGGATCAGGCGGCTGAGCACGAGTGCATTGAGCTGCGGTGAGACTTGTGGAGTTGGATCCCAGTTGTTATGGATAAGAGATACTCTCAAGTAAAGCTGGATGTCACGTCTGCCGAGGTACTCTTCATCAGCTTCTTCTACTACTCCGTATTGGTCCAACGCTTCCCCGCAAGCCTCGACGCAGCCAAGGGAGATTCAGGTAGCCCGTCCCCCCGCAGCTGGCTCGTGTGCACGCTACGAGAAGCTGTCCATGTGGCATTAGTCATGAAATGAAGGAGAGCTGTAACTATTCACGACTACCGTTAGCTGGTCTCTGGCTGGCGCCTCGTTGGAGTCTTGTTAGTCAGTTCTCAGCTACGTCGGAGGCGGCGCCATCAAGCCTTGCCATGTGCTCATGGGCCCCGGACCTGCATATCCCTCGAGGCAACTGGTCAATTTCATTTGGTGGCACTTTGTTGATGTCCGACATGCAGAGTAGCGAGTAATTGGGGTCCGGTGACATGAATCAACAAACATGGCGATCTGCAGACCGCCAAGCTTCCTCTGTCTCAATGGTTGTGGATATCAACTCAGGGAGAGGAGTTGCACAAATTACGGAGTTTCCCGGTTTGGTTTAAGAACTGTTGCATTGGACATATTGTTGAGATTGCGAAACACCGAGAAGTTCAGCTGTTCTTCTTGGTCTCTGCCGACTCCAGGACGTTAGGCTGAGCGATTGTTGGTCTTCCACATTAGTTCCGTTACTGAACATGCATTCTGGCGCTATCTGCGGCACTGCCTACAAATTTTGTTCTGCAGATTTTCCCGGCAGGGTGAGCAGATACTCGTCAGGCTAGCTTTACGCCTACCTCGCCGTAAGAATCAAGACAATTTCCTGTTGGAAGCGTCCCTCCCAAGTTCGTGTATGAAGACTGTATTGAGCAAAGAGCGTTCAGGACTCTTGCCAGACTATCGATACTCTGCAGTGCTCTAGTATCACGAACATAGTGAGCAGAAACGAACAAGAACAATGGTTTCCAGTGGGGAGTCTCAATAGAATGGCAAATTGCTAGGTTATTCTGATAAGTCCCCACTCCCACTCTGGAGCAGCGTACTAAATGTGAAGGATCACAATCCCAACCCATGTGCTCAATCTAGATCTGCGGGGTTGAGGAGGTCAGTAGGGCATGAATATTACGTTCTAGGGGTATCTTTTCTTACTACTAGCTGCTGATCAAAATAGTTATGAGGTCTGGATCTTAGGGTAAGAGTAGATGCTTGGGCACCAGGACGAGTGACAAGGAGAAGTTTGACTTTGTTTTAGATCCTTTCTTTCGGACAATACATCGTCTTTGACGCATTTATATCAAGGAAATGAAACATCTGGTGAATCTTGGGAGGTTAGGTTTCCCCAAGACATAGATTAGTGACCTGGACATTCACTTTGATCTACGGGGTCCCGAGGAGAGGCGTGGCACCGCACGTGCAACAACCCTCATGCTTCTTTTCCAACGGCAACAAGAATAACATAGAAAATAACTTTGAAGCATTGAGCTACTATTGTAGATTTTATATACCTTATGGGGCATAGGTAATGAGCCATTATTCTAGTGATATTTGCAGTATATCGCGTTCCTATCCGGAGGGTATACCCTACAGTTGACAAGCTTGGAGGCTGCAAAACCATTGGCCGTCACCCCTAAACATCGCCAATCAAGATCTAAGCTAGCCTTCTATCGAAATCACTCCATTCTTCACCGCGTCTTGGGCTCCTCGATGGGCCCTCCTGGCTTCCTGGCGGTTATGGCAACATAATGCCAACGATCACGTCCACGATACGACTCGACACCAGCCACCGTGTTGATGAAGTGCTTCTCCAAGTGAAAAAAGGTGACAAGGAGCCATGGGATGTAGGCGACCAGATAGAATAGCCGCGTCATGGGGACAATGTTCTTTGAGTAGTCCCGGACCGTGACGTCGGTGAAACCCGCTTCTTCGAGCATCTCCTTGAAGACACCAGGGTGAGAGATGTCATTAGTCGGCATGGCAGAATAGTCGTTGATTTTCTTCATTGACTTGGCCATATCCTCGGTCGAGTCAGAGATGAATTCATGGTCATACTCGAAATGAGCAACGTGACCACCTGGGCGAAGAATGCGAAAGAAACCCGCGAGGACAGCTTTGGGATCCGTGGCATGCACAAGAGTCTCCATAGTGTAGACTCCGTCAAAAGACTCGTCGTCTAGGGTTTCGAGGTGGTGGTAGTCCATCCGACTCGCCGAGATTTGTCCTTCGGATAGCCCGGATCTGGCAAAGTTGCGCTTGGCCTTGGCGACGTGGTGCTCAACGACATCAACAGCCTTGATGCGGTACTTGAACTCCCTGGCGAGGTGAAGAGCCACATGACCGACACCAGAGCCAGCGTCGAGGACGTTGGCGCCTGGGGGGAGATTCAACAGCTCGCCCATCTTTGTCTCCATGGCTCTCAGAGCGCGGCCGATGGGGAAGGGCGAGCTTTTGTCGCTGGGGTAGTAGCCAAAGTGGCGCGTATCGCCAAGGAACACCTTGTAGCCGATTCTAGACTCAAGGGAGGCATAGTAAGTCTGGAGTTTGGCGTTGTCGTTGATCAACGGGTCCGAGTCGGCAGGCATAGTGAGCAGCGGAAGGGTCGGGTTAGAACAGATGGGTTTGCGAGTCGATGCTCTGGGTGGTTTTCCAAAGGCTGGATTAAAAGTCGTCAAGAGGCTGGATGTTGAAGAAGGAAAGTTTGGCGAGGCTGGAAGAGAGAGAGTTGCGATTAATAAACAAGACGTCAGAGCTAGGGACACGCGTCAGCAAACAGTGAAGGTAGGCTTGGCAATTCGCGGGATAGTGAACCATGACCATTCCGACAAAACAAAGGACTCTGAATCGTGGATTGCCATGGCTGATTCCCCAACTCTCAAACACGTAGGATCGCGTCGGTTAATGTCGACTTCGCGTGGGTTAGTGATGCACATGCACTCAAACATCACCATGGGACACATCGTTGCTGCTTTTATATATTTATAGTGACGCCTTCTTTTGAAAAGAAGGCATCGGACACAGTATCAGCGAACACAATGGGTATCTAACACACTAGGCGGCATTTCTAGAATGCCTTGTAACACAATGAACTTATCCCATCACGCCCGCGAGAGGGATAAGCACTTTGACAGAGGTCCTGCCTCGTCCTGCCTCTTCGAGACATGGCCTACCAGAAGCGGTTGTAGCGGCCGTATCCGTATTTGTTGAAGTCATAGAAAGGGTCTTTGTCGTCGTCGTAGGGGTCGCCGTGCTTGCGCCCCTTCTTGTAGTTTTGCTTCGTCGTCACCAAATCCCAATCTCCATACCTCTTCTCTTCTTGTCGACTGATCAGGGTGATTGTCATGGCCTGTCTTTCCTTGCCCAAGGCGCGCATGGCCTTCATGAAATCCTTCTTGTCATCCTTTTCACCAAGCATGAGGGTCTTGAGCTTGGGCGCCCACTCCGGGTTCTCCCGGAGGGCATCAAGGGACGTTCCAGTGATGTCGTTTCCGTGGGAAAGGGCGCTGAGCTCAATGTACGTGAGAGCGGGACAGTTCTCGAACAAGGCGAGGAGGGCATCCTCCTTGACTTCGGTTGCAGCTTGGAGCTCGATTCTCCTGAGCTTGGGGCATGCCTTGGCCAGACGGATGACAGACTGAGTGGTCAGTTTGGCGCTATTCTTCGCGTCGTAACTGACGTCTTTGTATTCAAAGATGAATTGCCAAAGGCCTCCGCAGACGCCAGGACCAAGGGCCAAAATCTCATCGACGTGGCGACTTAAGAAGTATACCTATGTCAACAATGAACGCGTTACAAGGCAGAAAACTCACTCGGTCAAGATGAATTCGGATCCAAACTTGATGATCTTAGTCGCGGTTCCGATCTTGGCTTCGTACTTGTCGTCCCAGTCACGCTCGCTACTCTTAAAGAAGGCTTCCTTGTCTCCCTTGGGAATGGGCTTGAGCCACATGGTGCTAGGGCGTTTGCCGACAGGGGCTGCATCGGTGGCGGCCGTGTTCTTCTTGGCGGAGCGGACTGGGGGCATCTTGAGTAACGAATAGTGTTTAATCTTAGATAGATGATGATAGTACGATACTTATAAATAAAGTGTTGATGAAGGAGTTGAGATTGATGAAATGTGTCCTCGGTTGAAAAAATTTAAATGACGGCAGCGTCGGGAGGGAGTGACGCGACCGCGTTTTAGTGTGTGGACATCACGCCAGAGGCTGAACTCTTTTTTGTTGAGAAGCAAAGAAGGGGAAAAAATATATCTCAACTTGGTCAAAAGGAATTTTCTATTTTATTATTCAGATTTTATTTCTTTTCGAACTGAGTAGGCAACCATAACACGTAGTATGCCACACGTTCCTATCAGCTTACTCCAGCAATGCAACCACTCGTTTCCCCAGCAAAACCAAGACATTCAACCTCGTTTACTCATGAAACTTTCGGACCTTGAATGGACTCACAGAAGCCGCAGGAGCTGTGCACTTGTTTGCCAATGCCGCCTTGGCTTCCTTGCTAGTCGCACTCACACAGTCCATACCAATGTCAGAAACACCATCACAGATGACAACAGGTTTTCCACCACAAGGTGTCTTGATGTCAAAGTTCTTGAACTTGATGTTTTCGCACACAGCGTTGGGGTTACTGCTGCAAGTCAACCTCGCGATGGCATCACCGTACTTGCCAGATGAGTAACCGGTAAAGTTCTCGAAGAGAATGTTGGTGATGTTCATTTGCGAGGGATACTTGGCGCATGTAGCCTCGTCAATGTTGAAGTAGCACGAGTCGATGAAGGCAGTGTACTCGTTGTTACCACCCCAGAAGTTACGGAAGGTGACATTGTCGATGAAGCCGTAGCCAACGTCTGGGCCAGCCCAGGTCTTGAGACGGGCTCCGTGTTGACCGTTGAGCATCCAGACATTCTCGATGACGACGTCCTTGACAAAGGACTTTTCGCCCTTGTATTGACCAAGGGATCCAATAGACTGTCCGTGAGTTCCTACGCCTCGTCAGTACCTATCAACTAGGAGTCAGAAAGGTAGCATACCGTTGCAGTACATGGTGTTGACATAGACATCCGAAGCATTGCTCTTGGGCGAGAAGCAGTCATCACCGATATCAACCCAGGCACGCTCAACTGTCAAATGCTCAACATTCAAAGAATCGAAAAAGTCGGTGTTCTTGGGCAGAGATGTGGCGTTGTTGGAGTGAGCCGTGCAGACAACGTCCTTGAAAGAGATGTCCTTCGCTGATGGTATGTTAGCTTGGTACTTCTCGTGAGTGAATGTGGCAACACTTACAGGTGACGACAAAGTTGGTCCAGCATGGCGAGTCCTTGAAGTGAATTCCTTGAATGTCCAAACCAGTTGCGTTCTCGGCGTAGAAGAGAATGGGACGAAGGTACTGATTCGTCTTGTCCAATATCTCTTTGCCGGCAAACTCGTTCCACCAACGCTGACCGTTTCCGTTCAGCACACCGTTACCGTAGATCTTGATGTTCTTGCCTCCCCACTTCCAGAACATGATAGAGTTCTTTTGAAAATTAGTCGTGCACTTGAGTCTCTTTGGTGGTGACATACCTGGAAAGGATGGGTGAAGGAGTTCTTCTGCCAGTATGCAGTATCATTGGTAAACTTGATCTCTCCATCAAGATGAACATGGACATTATCCAGCCAAGTCAAGTCAAGAGGCTTTCCAATGACATATGTATGTCCCTTGGTCAAGTGGAGTGTACCTCCCTTGTTCGCCCTCTTCAAGCCCTTGTAGAACTCGGACGAAACATCATCATGATCGTTCTTGGAAGCCCTGATGGTAAACACCTTGCGGTGATTACGTTTGGATGGCGGTGTGTACTGATGTTTCTCACGAAACTCATCCACGCTTCGAGGAACACCAGCAGGAAGCTCAAGAGCTCCTGCCAATGCGCCTGTGACGAGGGAAAGGGCGGAAACAAAGATTGACAGCTTCATGATGAAGGGACAGTTTGACTATTTCAAAGAAGCTGTATAGCCAAGACAGATGAGAAAGATCTGGTGATGAAGTGTGAAAAACAGCTCGACTTTGCACTCAATTTATATGAAATCAACGCACAGTCTCTCTCGGAGCTACACCCCCAAAGCATACACCCCTTCCGCACATAAACACATGTTCCCCAGGTCATCTCATCAGTCTAAATTACATCTGTCGATGTAAACATGGGGTTATCCACCGCGATGCAAGGTTCGTAGACTGTCATCGCTGTGCGGCAAGTAGATAGATTCTAGCTAAAGTGGCTTAAGCTTGTTCTAGTTCGAGCCTCTAATTGGTGGACTGGGATTCTTCCGCGGCTGAGTTCCCGTGGAGGCATTTCTCCAGAGTAGATCCCCCGCCCCCAACTTGGTCGGCACAAAGTTGCCGTTGAGCAAGGGACTGCGTTTCAGCCATTTGTCCTTTGTAAGTGGTTATTTCTCATTTTAGAAGGACTTTTCTTACCCTGAACTTGTGATTGAAGATGGGTGTTAAAAGAGGTGATGAAGCTTGTGAGATGTAACTTGGGAGTGAACTCAAGAAAGAGAAGCACAAAAAACCGAGATGAGAATCATAGATGAAATGGTCATTCTATGGAAATTATCCTGGATGTCTCTCATATAAGACCAACTCTTGATTCGTGTGTTTTGAGATCTTACTATGCCTCGGATCGTCGCTTGGACAAACTCCACTCGTTGGGTTGATGACAAACATGTTGAGAACTCCTTCTATATTACAGCGATGGTAACACCTTTCTGTCGCCGAAACTAAGTAAGGGTGGCCTAAATTAATTCTACATGCCGACTTATGGATCATGAAATTTCTTCATAGAGTTCAACGTCAAAGGCTACGTTAAAACCTGTGTTCTTTCCTACAATAATACTCTTTCCATTTTTGCGATGAGAAAAATAACAATGACATTGTCGTACCTGTGTCTAAGCATCACCTGGACCTCCTTCATATGTAGGAGTGAAACACAAAGCCTCCATGCATTAGGGTGCCCGAACGAAAGATGCGGGAGATCCCCGAATGGGGAGAGCTAATGGCTTCCGATGCTCATCTAGGGCCCCTAGGAACACTGGACGGCGAAGTCATCGACGAAAATGAGCAGCTAGTGTCAAAGCACTGGATGAGCCACTAATGGCGCGCTCACCGATTTCCACTAATAAGATGGAAGCGCAAAGGCGAGGCCCTTGTCTAGCAGTGAGCCCTGCTCATTCTTACCCCCTTCCCCGAGCAGCGAGATCTAGCAAGTGGCCATGTCCCTCTATTTATGCATACTTGAGAGACATGTAAGTTGACCAGCGCATTACTTTGCACTCAATACTTGGCATGAGTTGTCTGACCAATGACGGACCCAAAGCCAAGACTGTATACAGACTTAGATTCGCTTGGCTCCGAGCGGAGAGAATGCAACAAGACAATCAATTTCCTTCTTATTCGATCGGCCCCTGTCGATCACTTGAGGCTAAATTTATTCCCATAGTCAAGTTGACCAGGAGGAAGCGCAGGATATGACATAGCTGTGTCCGGCCACCCAGCTAGAAGGAGGAGCAGCATGCTATTTTTTATTCGACAACGAAACGAGATGTCAGTTAGCTTTTTCTTTAATACAAGTAATCAGCTCTTGGTCGTATAGACGAAAAAAAAAAAGAGGTAGAGAGAAAGAAGTAAAGAAACTAGGACGGGGATTCGAACTACAGACCAACAAATTAGATGGTCCATTTACCGGCCTCGGCACCCCTTGAGGTGCCGCGGTAAGTCCCCCAACAGCACGGGACGAACGGTTAACCCGTTACGCCACTGGCGATAAGGTCTCTTCGAATTGAGGTTTAAATATCTAGGTGCAATGGGATTGTTTGGATGCTGGGAAAAGTGATTGAGATTGCAGAGTTGACTGGTGAATGCTGATACGCTTCAAGTCTGGGTGGGTGGAGATGACCAAGTGGACGATCATGGTGATCATTGGCTGGGTGGACCTGCGGGACCGGGGGCAGGTACCCGCCCACATCGCCTGAGGCACCCCCATCCTAAGAGTTTAACAACTTATAAGTCCTTCGAGTTGCTAATGTTGAGTTGACAACTATCTTCTTCGAGTTCTTGTGTATCCTGGCTGTCCCCACGCGAAAGGAGAGGCGGGGAATGGCGCTGGACTGTCGCGACGACAGCCTGAGCCGAGAAAGAATAACAACGATCCATCCTGGACGATGTTGACGACAGGTGACATCTGCTACAATGCACCACGATCACAGTACCTACATTTGTAAAGATTCCTATCGCTGAAATCCTCTGATTCTTCAAATTCATTGTTGTGGCAATCTTGGGTTAGAACTGAAAGATGTCGCAACTCTTTGACGATCATGACCTCGGTGGCTGCGATGGCTTACTATGGCTTACTTTAGGCGATCGCATTCCCACCCGGGCCAGTGGAGTTATTTAAAAGTCCGCCAGCAACTCCTCAAAACTCCGCTCCTTCAGCTGTCTCCTGATTCTCGGCAATCAATCCTGATCAGATATAAATACGTACCTTGGTCTTGAATTATTATCTCGTTCGGTTCAGATCCATCATTGTTCCATTGCTCACCATGAAGGTCCTTATTGTCGGTGCGAGTGGCATGATTGGAGGCGAAGCCCTGCTTCAGTGCCTCGCAAACCCTCAAATCTCCAGTGTCGTCGCCTTTGTCCGTCGAGAACTTCCCTCCGACGTGTCAAACAACCCAAAACTCAAGTCTGTAATAATCAAAGACTTTTCAAAATGGCCCGAAGACCTATTACTCGCACACGCGGACGCCGTTGGCATGATTTGGTACGTTATTAAAAGACAGGACACCCTTTCCAGTCACATATCCACTGACACGCTACAGGGCCATGGGATCATATGGCGGTGATGTTCAAGCCGACCTGGAGTACCCATTTGCGTTTCAAGAAGCCATGGTGCGAGTATTGAAGCCCACTGGCCGCCCGTTCAACTACGTCCAACTGAGTGGCAAGTTTGTCCGTCAAGACCAAGAGACAAACCTATGGTGGGGAAGCGTGCCGCGAAAGATCAAGGTATAACTCAACCGATGGCTTTGTTTGCAAAGGTATCTAACAACAGTGTAGGGAAAGCTTGAAACTAAAACCCTCGAGCTTGCCGAGAGCCATCCCGATGTATGGAAGGCTTTCGTCCTGAAGCCCGGAGGTGTAGTACCCAAGACCATGTTCGGCAGCGGATTTCTCGGTATTGTGACATCTTTGGGGGCAGTCATGGGAGAGAATTGGTCCGTCCACATTGAAGAGTTGGGCGCTTTCATGATGTACCTGGCACTTGATGGCCAGGGAGAGGAGCCACTTCTGCTCAACGATCGAATTGTGAGACGAGGCAGAGAACTGTTGGAGCTACAGAAGAAGTCCCAGTTATCTGCGAACTAGTAGACTTGATCCATCATGGCTGTTATGCCATGCAAACCTTGCAGCTCGTCCTCGACTGCCGCTGCACCGACTTCGCCCGCCCATACAAAACAACACCTATGAGGAATAATCTCGTTTTTAACATTTTATAATAAATAATAGCAATACAATTCACACATCACAGAAGAAAATACGTGATCTAGTGCTCGGGCTTATCCCCGTGCTGGCCTACAATCTCCATGGTCCTTGGAAAAGAACCGACTGCTATGATCTGATCACGGTCCACCATCACCCAAACTAGTGTGCTTCACTGGGTAGGAACTCAAACGCCAGCCTCATATGCATCTAGATTTCCCAAAAGTCCAAAGCTTGCCAAGTGGCAGTGATGAACCTGAGATACTGAAGATGATATAGACTTTAAGGAGTGAATGGTTCAACTGCGTCACCGCAGGTGTCTTGTTTAACTGGCCAAGAAAAAACCAAGGAAATTGGGTGCGCCGCAACAACCCGTTCCTTGGGTTCTCGGGTAAGGTTTACGATAACGCAACTGGACTGTACAACGCGGCCTAACAGCCCATAGGCAACTACACTGGGTCAAAGTCGGTAATGAGCAAGGAGAGTCGCTAGCACTCAAGGTCAAAGCATGCCATGCCAAGTATGATACTAACGACCCCACGATTTGCAAGGGCGGCACTGATCGTAGTGTCTAGCTAAATGCTAAATGGGGCGATTAACGAGGGCGCCCTGACCAGCGCGGCACGGATGGCCTGAACATATTTTTGCTCGCTTACTCCGTAGTTTGCATAAATATAGAATAAGATTTGCACCCTTGATCTAAATTACCCCCCGGTCTCAATGAATACCCCTGGTCCAGGGCAGGTGGTCCAGCACAGCCGGCAGCAAATCATAGTACAACGGGTGTGTCTGTGCCTCTGAGCGCCTTGTGACAGTGCAGCCGAGGTAAAGTTTAGGTTCTCTAGGCTGTGCGTTGTGGGAACATAGACAGCTTGTAGACTCGTGAATAAGCTCATACCACCCCTACACCATGCACGGCAACGCCGTAATTGACGAGTTGAACAACCCGAAGTCCCATCTACAGGCAACCTGTGTGAATTTACAGGTTGGCAGGAAAATAATCAAGCTTGAAACCGAGTCGCTAAATTTCTAAGCTTGAGATAGGGTAAGTGGTTTACCTTGCCTGGATGGTGTATGAAGGCTTTTCTATGCTAAACCGTTGCTAATAACCTCCCTCTCACCTTTGACCGCCTTTTCTCTTTATGAACCACAATTTCTTGCCGTGGTCATCACACAATCATGTTGTGTAATAAGCTGCGTCATTGGTCTAGGGGTTAGGATTCAACTCTTCCATTAGAGAGAAGTTGAGGCTCGGATTCGAATTCCGGATGACGCAAAAGCTGTTCTTTTTGCTCTTTCAAGCCTTTGCGCCAATTCCAAGGCATGGCAGGCATTCTATTTTTACCCTGGGTTTGCCTGTCAGACATGTAAACTTGTCTGCCTCTTGCATGTCTCCCAAGTTGTGATATCAAGGCGGTGAGTCACTGGGCCTTGGCCGAGGAAACCTCTCAGTATTATGCTTCACAACTACATTGTTTCCATTTAGCACTGCAAGAAACGGGGAAATCGGAAGAAATCCTTCTTTATATGGAACCGTTCTAATTCCTTATTGAATGTTCATGCCATGCAACCCACAAAACGAAAATCGCAAGTCCACCTCTATTCAACTGCACACACTATAATACATCTAGTATTAATATCCCTCCTGCACAACTCTGCATAATTTGAAACCCCCAACTATCCAACCCGTAACGTTACCCACAAAAGACCTGCACAGCCGCTTACTTGTGGCTACCCTCACCGTTGCAGTAGGGGATAGGGTACTCGGTGCTGTTGCAAAGGCGGATGAGACCCTTGACCCACTGGAGGTTACCGTAGCTCTGGCTCTCATAGGTATCGGAGACAAAGCCAGTCTTCTTCCAGTCGTCGGTGCAGCCGTCGAGGTAGTTGCCCTCAACACGGCGAACGTAAGGCTGGCTGACAATGACACCGTGCTGACCAGCAGGGACCTCGAAAGTGAGAGACTGGTCCTGGCTGGTGCTCCAGCTCTCGGAGTAGTCGACGGAGAGCGACATTCCGAGGATACCCTCGAGAGCGCTGACGGAGAAGGAAGTGCCCACAGAGATAGAGTTTGACAGGGAGTAGCCGGAAGAAACGGTGACGGAGGCTTTGCCACCGGTGCTGCTGACGACAGGCGAGATGGCAATGTCCCAGTTGAGGAACTCCTTGTCAGAAGTGACCTGCACCTCGCTCGACTTCTCACAGGCACGGCGGCGGAGCTTGGAGGAGCCCTTGGCGGGAGCGGGAGCGACAGGCTTGTTCTCGAGAGCGTTGAACTCGGCAGTCTTCATGACCTGGGAAGAGCCATCGTGGCCGAGGACAATGACCTCATCGGGAGAGAGGCTTCGCTTGGTGACAGCGGCGTTGGAGGCCGAGACGAGGCCGAGAAGAGTGAGAGCAACAGAGGGAAGCATTTTGATGGTTGTTGGATAATGTAGATAAAGAATGTAATGTGAAGACAATGTCTCTGATCAAAGAGTGAATGTGTATGAATTGCACGTCAACGAGCGTAGTAAAAGAACGAAGCTTAAAGAGTGTGAGTGGGTTGGTGAGCGTTGTGTCAACTCAACTTCAGACGCCGGTGTCCCAGTTCCTTTTATCATTCAAGACAAGACGAACATGTCCAACAATAGACATCTAAGCCCCCCTCAAGTTGTCGGAGGTATCGGCCTCCCCGTTGATAGTCAGTAGCATGCAAACGTCCCCATGCAAACTCAAAGATAGAGTTCCGGTAGTAGTTCGGGGATGAAAGGGATGACGGAACCCCATTTACAATGTCAACGTCTTGTAACGCTCTGCCCAGCAAGGCGACCACTCATGTCTCTGCATTCCGTCACCGAGATTCTCTGTCCCACACGGACAAAACTTGTCCGGGTTTCAAATCGACAAGGATGGTATGCCTCAAAAGGTCGATTTAAAGTTCAAGACCCCTGTAGACGGGTTTATGCGACGATGACTATCACCGGAATCGCCGTTGGAGCCAAGATCAGATGATTAATGGGAATGTGGGATGCGAATTTCCCAGATTGGAGGATAATGTGACGGTGTCGGAAAAGTCCGTTGCTGTATTCGTCGATTGTCTAGTTTCAGAGGTTCGTATTCATCTAGACGTCGCTGATGCGTGCGTCATCATGGTGTTTCAGGCGCGTGGGTTCAGTAAAGTTCAAGATGGGGGGTGGTCTTGGCGTTAATAGGTTGTATTATAGGAGAGATAGTGATGAGAGAGAAAAGGGAAGGAGGCTTTTGGTGTGATATAAGTTGGTTGTCTTCTGCTCGTTGTGGTGTTGTTGTTCTCCAAGACACTCATTAATATTGTGCTTACAACTACCAACTCTCATTCATTCATTCATTCATTCATTCATTCATTCATTCATTCGTTATCAGTCACTCGTTTAGACTATCAATCGTTGCTCTCAGTTCATCAACACAAGATACACTTCATTCAAGATGCTGGCCAAGACTCTTAGCGTTTTCCTCTTCCTCACTCTGGCGTAAGGACACTCCATCGCGTACAACAACCATATACTGACTTCTATAGTGCGGCTGACCTGCACGACTCGTGCACTTGCCACAACGGCGACAGCTACAACTGGCGCATCACCACCAACGCTTGCACTGACTACAACGACTCTAAGTTCGAGGTACGTCAAAATCTTTCACCCTTCTGAACCTAGCTAACGTACCTTTAGTGGGGTGGTGCCGCTTACGACACTCCCTCTGGACGATGCACCCAGATCACCGCCGAGGACAAGATCGCCGGCAAGGAGTGGGAGGCCGCCTGCAAGAAGATTGCCCAGAGCGGTTTCCAGTGCGCTGATGGCGTTGGAACTTGCTACGCCGACCCTGATGATGTCCGTGGCCGATGCTAAGCGTCTTGACCCAAATGTTGAGGATACTGTTAAGAGCGGTGCATCTTGATAATTGGTTCTCAAGTTGAAGAGGGGGTGGTTAGAAGAGGGGTGCTGCTTGAGGCGGCACGAGAGCATGTATAAACATTTTCGATTTATTGCACAATCTGATAGAAACTATGGAAGAAAATCCGTGACAGGACCAGCCTTAAACGTGAACAACAAATCCAAACTAAAAGAATGTCCAAAAGTACCAATCTCCTAATTGACCAGGCGTTGGGTAGAGTGTCTACCACTTGACACGCTTGTTCCTAAACACACTGACCATGCCCATGGGCAAAAGCCCCGAATCGACAATGTTCAGCTCCCCAAAGCGGTCAACAATCTCTGGCCCGTACACCATGGCCACCCACCTCCAATACGGCTCCATACCATGCCAGCTACGAATCTTGGACATGCTACTGACATTATCAAGAGCCAAGCACACCTTTCCGTCATCCTTGTCTATGCTCTTCTCCTCGGGACGCGTCATCAACCGACGGAACACGCTACGCAGCTTCTGGCTCCTGCGGTAGTGGTTGAACTCAAAGTCTTCTCTGTAGCGGATGTACTCGTCGAACGGCATAAAGTTCTCTTGGTCGTGTTCGGACTTTGGTTTCCAGTCTGGGTCGTCGAGGGAGTAGCGTTCGTTGTTGATGCTTCCGTTGAGGAAGGCTTTCTCGGCACGTTTGTAGGATTCGACTTCTGCTTCTTCAAAGGCGATGATGGGTTCCAAGGGAGACTTGTACACCTGTTCGCGGATCTGTAGGAGTGAAACGAATGGGGACTGTAGGTCCAGACCTCCGAGGTCGACAGGGAAGTAGAGGAACCCGTCAGGAATGTTTTCGATGCCGAAGCGTCGGCTCATCTCCTTCTTCAGATACTCAGCAACACTGGTCACCTTTTCCTCGCCGTCTCCCGACAGCTTAGAAAAGACCTGCCGCTGGATGCGCTCATGAGTAGAGAGCATGTTGTCCACGTGCTCTTGGCCGAAGCAGTTCGCTGCCTTGCCAAAGTTTGACGTGAAAAACGTGGCAGCGTACGAGTTCCAAGTCTGGATGAAGGCGAGGATGCTCTTGCGCTTATCGTGAAGCTGCTTATGAAGCTCATCAATGTGCGAGTCCACCATCTTCTGGTCAATCTCGAACCTTCCAGTCTGCGGCGAGAGACGGAGGAAGCCCCAGCGAATCTCGCCTTCGGGGAGGGACTCATCGATGGAAAGCGTCATATCACGGTCCTTGGCAACTCGGATGGTACCGCTCTTTTTAGTGTTGATCTCTGTGCTCGTGATGGTCTTGAACTCGTCCAGGACTTCCCATGTCTTGACGGCCATCTTGTGATCATGGGTCCAGAACCAAACGTCGTCTTTGACCCTCCAGAGTCTGTTTCCAGAAGTAGACTGGTTGACAGCAAAGTCAAGACAGAACAGAACCGTCTCGCCAAAGACATCGCTGAGCACATGCGAAGTCGGTGCTCCTCGGCGTCGCTGGCGTGGGGTTGCATTCTCGTCATCGACAAACTTCAGAGGAGCTTCGAGGAATCTTTTGAAGAAGCCAAGCCACTTCTCGGACACACCAAAGTACTCGAGGATGGTGCACACGGTCTGGTGCGGAAGGAGGGAGTTCCAGTTGTCAAAGACGGAATGAAAGGCTGTCAGCTCACCGTACAGCTGGGTGTTGATGTTGATCTCCGTCGACAACAGATGCAAGAGATCTTGCTTGAGAGTCATTGGGTTTCTCTCTCCCAGTGGCTCGTCGTCCTCATCGTCCTCATCATCATCATAACTGTCATCCTCATCCTCATCATCGTCGTCGTCCTCCTCCATGAATGAAGCCACCCGAATCCCACCAGTCGATGGCGCCGATTTGCGGCAAGCCTTACTAGCCAACTTTCGATGTCGCATGGCACCCCCTGGTCCCAAACCCTTTCCCCTTCTCTTAAGACTGACAGCCGAAAAGCTCTCGTACTCCGCCTCCTCTTCACCCTCTGCAACCTCCGTACCCTGCTCCAAGTTATCCATGAGCTGAGTCATGAAGAACTTGGAGTTGTAAATCTTGGTCCTGGCAGACTGCAGTGAGGGAGAATCCGACAGAGGTCCGAGGTAGTAACCGAGTCTCCGTTTGTCGATCTTGGGGATATCGGCACGCGTAGACTTCCAGGCATCCTCGCAGTCACGAAAGTCCTGAAAGACACCTTTGAAAAAGACACTCCACTTGACACCGATGTACTGGAGGAAAATGGCGTTGAGAAGATCCTCCTGAAGGTGGACGTTGTAAACACCGCTGATCTTTCGTCTCATCTCGAGTGGAACCGCGTCAGAGCTCCAGTTCCACGAACCCAGGGCACTGATGCGCATATCAAGGACATCAGCAATCTCCTTGAGGATGACATGGTTGCCCTGAAAGTCTCTGAGAACCTCTCGCTTCTCGTCGGAGAGAAGATCAGACGACAGGAGTCCTCTGATGACCCATCCCAAGGTCTGCACGCTGAACTGGTTGGGGGTCGACAACTGCGCCTCGAACGCATACACAGCCCTGCGGAGTTTCTTCAGGGCGCTGGCAACGTATTTTTTGTGTTTGTTGTCAACGCCAAAAAGGTGATCCAGGTACTGCTTCAGTGCAGTCTCGTCAACATCAGCAGCCTCAAACGCCACGCCCTCCCATTTCATCCTAGACTCCAATTTGGCGGCGCTACCAACATCCTCAAAGGGTTCACCCATCTCGACATCATCACCAGCACCCTCCTCTTCTTTATCACCCGACAGCCACTCAGTGACAAGCTGTGCGTATAAAGCAGCGTACTGAAATTGAAGGGACTGCATGTCCAAGTGACGAAGGAGGGACTTCTGCCAGGCATCCAACATCTTTGAGGAGACTGACGGGTCACATTTCGCTTGGTCGAGAAAGCGATCGAGGTTCTTGAGCTCAATCTCCAGTGCTCCATGCCCCGTCTGCTCGGTCATGACCTTGCCGGTCTTGTCGAGCTTGATGTCGAAGCACTTCTTGACGCCATCACTCAAGGTGATGACACGCTTGACGGCATCATCCTCGGTCTGGATAGAGGCAAGTATGGAAGACTTTGCTTCCTCAAAGCGAGAACGTCTCTTGGAGAGTTCATCAAGCTTGGTGTTGGTGATCTCCTGTAGAGTGGCAGAGAAGACACTGCCTGAAGAAACCATGATGTGTATGTAAGAGTATGTATAGTCTTGATAAGGGGTGGGGGGCTTGTCACTCGATGGTGAGATGTATGTGATGAAAGAAAAGAAGAAGGAGAAGAAAAAGAGGGGAGGAGAAGGGAGGAGGAGGAGCAATTTATATCAGGGAGTGCTCGATGAGAACTAGCGTCCTCAGGCCACAGCCCGTATTGGGAGTGCCAACCTCGAGCCAGCCAATGATATGAGGGTCAGCCAGGGTGGGCGTCTGCCTGAATCCAGCCAGGACGTCATAATGGCTTCCTTCTATAACTTGGGGCTATAATTCGGTGAAAGGATCATAAAGGACCTCAAATTTGGGCTAAAAGTGATTTATTGGACTATAGGTAGTTGTTTTCAGCAGGAGATCCAAGACATGACGTTCATGTAAGTCGTTGTGAAAAGCGGGTCGACCTTGACTTATACCACCTCCCCTGACCTCACCTTGGTCTCAATGCTGGAGCCTCGGGATAGATGAGAACAATTTTGTTGTAGAAGTGAACCTCTCAGGGAGTTTCAATGCTTTTGATTGATCTAGTGATGATATTACCGGCAGAGTTACTGGTTGGGGGATTCAACTCTCAGGGGTTGACTTGACGACCTGCCCGCCCGTCCCCGTGAAGGATTTGTACTTTGCGGCACTTCTTACGTGTCGCCAGGAGATGACTCACCACGAGATCTACGAGTTTTCTGAGAGCTTCACTCATCGCAAACGACATTGATTAGTGAAAAACCTTGCGTTGCTAGCTGTCCACGCCTACCTCACTGGCGTTGCCCTCATCCCCCTCAACCCTCTCCCTCGTTCTTATCCTCTCCACAAGAATCAACAGTCATGACCTGGTCGCTCTCCAAGAGCATCACGTACGTCTTGATAGCATCTTGGGCTTGGCATAGTTGGCCTCACCCTTGCCGCCCCTGTCTTGACCACCCTAATGTCCCCTTTCCGTCTCTCAGGCTCCTAATCCAAGCCGTTGGACCCACCACTTACCTACGCAGACTCTGCAGAACCGATCGCTTTGAGACTTCCCTTTAATGCTGGATCAGGACTCGTTACGTCCTGTCCCCTACGAATCGAAAGGGGGTTGAAAAGCTACCCTTTGGAAAATGATGATGAGAAACCCGTTTCTCTAGGCGTGGACAGCACCTCATCGTCCTTTCTCGGGTACTGGCGCGGCGCTCGGAATCTCCAAGCCCTGTGTTTGAGAGAGTTGCTGGTCTGGAACGATGAGGCCTCCTATATCTAGTGTGTGCCATACGAAAAAGGAACAGAGATAAGATCAAGGTAGAGGTTGAAATTCAACAGTGGATGATGACGAAGTTCCGTCATCAGCACAAATCGCTGGAGAAGGCTTAACCGGTTGAACTTACCAAGTATCGGCTCTGCCTATATACCAAACCACTCAAGCTCAAGGTCATGAAGTAGGTAGGCCATGCTGCAGGATCGCCATAACTGGAGATAGAGGGCTCCGTTGAATCGGGCCCAGCTATGAAATGGCGCAAGTGATCTCAAAATACTTTGATCTCAGGCGCTCTCAGATTGAAAAGTTCGAACAGGCTGGATGCTGCTATAGCGGCCCCGAGAGGAATCAAGCTTGAGGGGTGTGAGGGCAAATCATGCCTGGGATCATGGCGATGAGGAGCAGTCTGGTAGCAGCGGTCATGGCTTTAAGGAACATATAAATATGTTTTTTGGAGATATGGATGAGATCTCTAGCAAACCTTCTATTCATCCACTAGCGAAGGCGGGACTTTGAATCGAGATTCCTGGTGGAACAGGGAGAATGCCTTTCGGAGATGGCGAGGAGGAGCAAGACTGCCAAGAAGACAACTAAAATCACGAAGATGACAGAGATGCAGATAATGAGACTGGTCCTACCAACTATACGTCTTTACACATCTCTCTGACGAGCACCATCTCGCGTCAAATGTGGTGTGATAGTGACAGTGTCAGATCTGACAACGAGCCCGAGTCTACCGCCATGGATGAGATACTGAAAAATGGTTATCCGACTATCGACGGCTGGTCATCTCCTCCATCCACCCATCTACAATAAGGCCCATATTTGCTTCTGTTTCGCCTTCAGATGAAGCAGCAGACTCTTCAACTCTCAGCCCATCATGCCCCCAACACACGCCCCAGCCATCTATCTAGTCTCTTTAGACCTTGGCTAGTTCTATCGACAAGATGTGTTCTGTTTGACATCTCTTGACTGCCGCTCGGAACACTTTCCGCGTCTCTATCCAAGCCAAGTTCTCAGACTGGGGCCAATTTTCTGTCTCTTTTTTCACAACAGCCGACGAAGAAATAAGGACTATTGAGACAGGCAAGAAAGGCAAAGCCATCTTCAAAACTTAAGGAGAAAAGCGAGGAGAGAGAGGTTATCAGCACGGTGGTCATCTCACCCGAGGACAACCTCGCCAACAAGGTACAGCAACCCCTGCCTCAGCCCCCCACATGTGGTGCAGTTTGAGTGTGGGGGCGCCCAAAGGAGGACATGACAGTGATCGGGACAAGTTTATCGGAATACGAAACTCATTACGTCAAGTCTAAGACGTTGCCAAAATGAATCACCGGCTCGCGATCTTCTTGCAATGAAACCGAAGATAATGAGCCCATGATAGATGCCGTGGGTGATGTTACAGTGCGTCACGGGGAAATAATCTTGAAGTACCGAAATGTGGGTCCCGTCGGCAGTAGCGTTGTTTCCCCAGCACCAGAGGCAGGTGCTTAACGCGAGAACTTGCCTGACGGGACGCGCCCGCACGCGCTTGGACCTTTCCGCGACGCGACTGCCAATCTCCATTTCGCCAGGGCAGGCGATAAAGGATCAACCATGTCGAGTCTGTGATCTCCCATCTTTAACTATCACCAACTCTTGTTTCTCCTATTGTTGATACCAATTGCGTGTCCTCGACAGTTTCAAGTTCATCCCGTCTCAATCCGTACCGTTGTCCCGTGAATCACGGCTGCGGACACCAGCTACAATATTCACGACCCGCATAGCAAGGTGCTGTCTCGTCCGTTCGCCATGGCTCCAACAACGGCCAAAACGCCCTCCAGGGCGACCAAGCCAGCTGCACCCTCATCCTCAGCCAAGCAGCGTTCCATTGTCTCCTTCTTCCAAAAAGCTCCGCCCTCGAGCCCCGCCCCGGCATCATCGCCCCTCAGCAAAAACACTCCCGCCAACAAGCAATCGTTGTGCCTCCGAGAAACCACCAAGGCCAACTCTCTGCCCAAGCCAACTCCCAAGTCAACTCCCAAGACCTCAAACAAGCTGTCGACTCCCGTCCCTAGCAGTGACGCTATCGAGCCCCCGAGTTCGCAAGAGAACGAGTCAACAGTCAAGGTACGCCAACCTACTCCTCATCGCCACCACATCTGCTGAACATACAAGAAACCCAAGTCCACAATGAACGACGCTCTCCCAAGCAGCCCTACTCGCAAGGTACTATCTCTCGCCCCCTCTCCCCTCTCCTCTCCGCTGACCCACCCAGGTCAAAAAGGTCGTTAGCTACGCCGAGTCCTCCGATGACGAGCCCTTCACGTTTGGTGCTTCTAGTACCCGCCGGCGACCAAGAGCACGCCCATCCGTCAAGGATGAAGATGACTACGATGAGGAAGAAGTTGAGCAAGCAGAAGATACCGGTATGCACTACTCTCAGCCGCCTTTCGACAAAAGACTCACCACCATAGACACCATGGATGACTTTATCGCATCCGACTCAGACGAAGATGTATCTCGACCCAAGAAGCGGAAGCGATCCTCGAAGCCAGCTGCTCCGCGAAAACGATCCAACATGTCATCACCCGTCCCCGCACCCGATATCGATATCAAGGATAGTATCCTCGAGGATGACGAGATGATGGAAGACATCCTAGAAGGTGAAGGTTCCACAGCATCTCAATGGAACTACGACCCAAAGTCATCAGAGAAGCACCCCGTTATGAAGCCAGCAGAGCGGGCCGCAAAGGATCCCAAGTACAAGGAGAAGGCCCATGTCAAGGAGCCCGAGCAGCGATATCCTTGGCTTGCTAAGATCATGGACAAGGAGAGACGCACCCCCGACAACCCAGAGTACGACAAGAGAACCATTTATATCCCTCCCGCTGCCTGGAAGAAGTTTTCCCCTTTCGAGACCCAGTACTGGGAGATCAAGCAGAACCTCTGGGACACGATTGTCTTTTTCAAGAAGGGCAAGTTTTACGAGCTCTACGAGAACGATGCCACTGTGGGACATCAAGAGTTTGACTTTAAGATGACTGATCGCGTCAACATGCGCATGGTTGGAGTCCCAGAGAGCTCCCTTGACTACTGGGTCAACCAGTTCATCGCCAAGCAGTACAAGGTGGCTCGTGTTGACCAGATGGAGACCAACCTCGGCAAGGAAATGCGTGAACGACAAGACAAGAGTGGCAAGAAGGCAGACAAGATCATCACGCGTGAGTTGGCGTGTGTCTTGACTGCTGGAACACTCGTCGATGGCGGCATGCTGCAAGACGACATGGCTTCATACTGCGTGGCCATCAAGGAATCTGTTGTGGACGACCTTCCTGCCTTTGGTATCGCCTTTGCCGACACTGCTACCGGCCGATTCTATCTGTCTAGCTTTGTGGACGATGTGGATCTGACCAAGTTTGAGACTCTGATCGCTCAAACTGGTCCTCGAGAGCTTGTTCTGGAAAAGTCGAAACTCTCAACCAAGGCACTGCGTATCCTCAAGAACAACACCAGCCCCACGACCATCTGGACTCACCTCAAGCCTGATACCGAGTTCTGGGATGCAGACACGACTCGCCGCGAGCTTGGTTGCGGAAAGTACTTCAAGGTTAAAGACATTGATGATGAGGTTTGGCCCGAGGCTCTCCAACAGTTCCGAGATGATGATATTGTCATGTCAGCCGTCGGAGCACTGGTTTCCTATCTGCGCTTCCTCAAGCTGGAGAGGCCCCTACTCTCCCAGGGCAACTTTGAGCGTTACAACCCCATCCAGAAGAACGGAACTCTGGTCCTGGATGGACAGACGCTCATCAACCTGGAAGTGTTTTCCAACTCGGTCAATGGCGGCACCGAAGGTACCCTGTTCAGCCTGCTTAACAAGTGTATAACACCCTTTGGAAAGCGCCTCTTCCGATCATGGGTTGCCCACCCTCTCTGCAATATCGACCGGATCAACGAGCGTCTGGATGCCGTCGAGATGCTGAACGCCGACCAGGGTGTTCGCGAGGATTTTGCTTCACAGCTTGTCAAGATGCCTGACTTGGAGCGACTCATCTCGCGAATCCACGCTGGAGCGTGCAAACCCGAAGATTTTGTGAAAGTTCTGGAAGGCTTTGAGCAGATAGAGTACACTATGAGCCTTCTTGGAGCCTTCAAGGGCGGCAATGGCCTTGTCGACCGCCTCATCTCTTCGATGCCGAACCTTGAGGAGCCTCTCAGCTTCTGGAGATCGGCATTTGACCGTCGCAAGGCTCGTGATGACAAGCTTCTCATTCCCGAGCGTGGTATTGAGGAAGACTTTGACGAGAGTGCGGATCGGATTGAAGAAATCAAGCAGCAGCTGGACGAGCTGCTCGCTGAGAAGAAGAAGGAGTTCAAGTGCAAGCTCCTCAACTACAGGGATGTTGGCAAGGAGATCTACCAGCTGGAGGCACCAAAGAGTGTCAAAGTTCCATCCAACTGGCGTCAAATGTCGGCCACCAAGGACGTCAAGCGCTATTACTTCCCCCAGCTGTCTCAGCTCGTCCGGGAGTTGCAAGAAGCTGAAGAGACACACTCGCAACTTGTACGCGACGTCGCCTCTCGGTTCTTCAAGAAGTTCGATGTCGACTACGAGACGTGGCTGCAGGCCATCAAGATCATCTCGCAGCTGGACTGCCTGGTCAGCTTGGCCAAGGCTTCGGCCTCGCTTGGCCACCCCAGCTGTCGCCCACAGCTTGTTGACCAGGAACGAAGCACCGTGGACTTCCAGGAGCTTCGACATCCTTGCATGATGAACACGGTAGATGACTTTATTCCCAACGACATCAAGCTCGGTGGCGAGCAAGCCAACATCAACCTGCTGACGGGTGCCAACGCCGCCGGCAAGTCTACTGTCCTCCGCATGGTAAGTTCCATTCTTGATGATACTCTGAAACATGACTAACAATATCTAGTCCTGCATCGCAGTCATCATGGCCCAGATCGGGTGCTTCGTGCCAGCCACGTCTGCCCGCTTGACCCCTGTTGACCGAATCATGTCACGTCTTGGAGCCAACGACAACATTTTTGCTGCCCAGTCAACATTCTTTGTTGAGTTGTCCGAGACAAAGAAGATCCTTTCCGAAGCTACTCCCCGTTCGTTGGTTATTCTAGATGAGCTCGGCCGTGGAACAAGTTCATATGACGGTGTTGCTGTTGCTCAGGCTGTTCTTCACCACGTCGCTACTCACATTGGCTGTGTGGGCTTCTTTGCCACGCACTATCACTCGCTGGCGACCGAGTTTGAGAATCACCCCGAGATTCGAGCACGAAGAATGCAGATTCATGTCGATGACGAGGAACGACGTGTCACGTTCCTGTACAAGTTGGAGGACGGTGTTGCCGAGGGCAGCTTCGGTATGCACTGCGCCGCCATGTGTGGCATCTCATCGAGAGTCATTGACAGAGCTGAGGTGGCTGCCAAGGAGTGGGAGCACACCAGTCGACTCAAGGACAGCCTGGAAAAGGCTAAGACGGGATGTTATATCCCATTGGGTATCCTCAGTGATGTGGGCTCCTTGCTGGGCGACAAGGGCGAGATGGGAGAAGGTGGTGTGGATGTTCTTTTGAAGGCTATCGAGGCGTTGTAAGAGGGATATACATGATGTGATTAATGGGCAAATCCGAGGGAATGGATGGACATGGAATGGGTGGAACAAGATGTTCCACAGGGTATGGTAAATGGGGATATATCAGGCGTGTTGGGCGTCTGTAGATGCAAGACTGGGTGACTTTATTCTGATAGAGTGCCTGGGACATGGGCGTTTAAATGGTAGTGACCGATTAATGGCAAGATTCGTATGAGATGGCATCCGGTTCTCACGTCAGACATCATCGACTCGGCTCATGGTGATTCACAAAGTGCCTAGGTAAGAAAGAATGATTGTTGCCATCGTGACAAGTCAAATATCAGCAATACCGCAAGATCTCTAATAACAAGCAAGGTACAGCGGCAACTCCGAAAGACCAAGCAAATAAATACAAAAGCACCATCCATCTGCCCCGGCTCTTTACCGCCCAAGACCTTGCCATCCCAAAATCATGTCAATCATACCCAACCCCAGACTGCTTTTCTTCCATCTCATCATGCGTCATCCCACATCTACTCCCCAACACCAGAAGCATCCTCAGACACACCCTGCGACGCCTGCCCCTTAGACTTTGCACCGCCAGTCTTCTTCTGTCGAACTCTACTCGACGCTCTACTGGGCTGGCTGCTGGCCGCCTTGCCGCGAGGTTTCTTGGCCCTCTTGGCCTTTGGCTTTGGCTTTGGCTTTGCTAGACGACTTGTTAGTACATGACTTGACATGCATGATTTTGAGAGGAACTTACTACCCGGAGTCTTCTTGGCCTTCTTCGTCGCAGGACCATCATCTTCTTCAATTCCAGTATCGACTCCAGATTCAACAGGCGTGTTCATAGATTCACCGGTTCGTCGCCTCTTGAGTCCACCAGCAACACTACTATTGTCATTGCTCGCCTCCTCCTGCAGCTCGGCAATATCATCCACATCAGGCTTCAAGTCATCGTCCGTGTCTTCGTCGCTCTGGTATCTATACAGAGGATCGTCCTCTTGTCTTCCCTGCCACGAATCGCGACGCTTCTTACGTCCCCTTTCCTCGACAGGAATGCCGGGGTCTTCCCACGAGCCAGGGAACGGAGGCTGTCCCTCGTAAGGCGGCCAAGGCATGTTCCAAAACGGCTCATTGTCGTCGTTGTTGGGGTCAGATCGCCACACGGACGCGTTGTTATCAGACGGCTTGGTCGGATAGATGGTGCGATCATAAGCAGGATACTTTGACGTGAACTGTGACTTGATCTGGCCGAGCTTAGCGGGCAGGTCAGAAGCTCGGATCCAGCCACTGCGGTTGGGGAGGTTCTCGGAGGATCCTTCGCCGTTGCGGATCCTACAGCATCGGTTGACGTCCGAGTGACACTCGAGCTCCTTCTCGCGGCCGAGGGGGGAACGGCTTGGACTCTTGTTTCCGCTCTTGGGAGCCTTGCGGAGACACTTTGAGCAGTACATGTCATCGCTTGGTTCAAAGTTGGGGTCTCCGGGGCCGAGTTTCCTGATCCAGTCTGGAGATCGAGCTCGTCGTGGGCGCTTCGGTGCTTCAGGCTGTTCTTCAGGCTCATCATCTGTACTGTGAGCATCGTCCTCATACTCGCCATCATCATCACGTGGTTGGCGCTCTCTCCGGGCCTTCTTGGGAGGACGATCTCTGCCCTGGGTCGCTGAGCTTCTAGACTCACTCGCCGCCGGGGCGTAGACGTCTGTCTCTTCAAGAGGTTGAAGTTCAATCGGGACCAGTTTCTCGCGAGTGCGGGTTCGAGAGGGGCGGGAAGGGGTATCACTGGCGAGGCCAGAAAGTTCATCCTCTGATCCCTGACTCATAGCCTGATTGCGAGGCTTCACGTTGCGCTTCCTCTTCTTGGATGTCGACGTCCGAGACTGTACGGTCTCGGAAGAAGGACGATTTGACTCGTCAGTTTGAGCGTCCTCGGCCTCTGTGACCTCTGTGACCTCTGGCTGAATAGCAGGTCTAGGAGTAGGCGCTGGTGTCCGAGTACGGGGGGCGGGAGCCTCTTCCTCTGTTGCTTCCCCATCCTCAGAGTCAAAGTCGACCATCTGGACCTCCTTTGGATGGCTGACGCGTATATGGCGGCGGAATTGCTCGTCAGTCATGGAGCCAACGATAGCACCACACTTCTCAAAGAAGGGACATCGGGGGTCTTTCTTAGAAGTATCAGCTGCTTGCTCCTCTTCAGCAGTGTCTGCTTGGTGCTCTTCCTGAGGGAGAAGGGCCCCTTTGCCGCCCTTCTGACGAGCAGCATCCTTTGCCTGTGAGCGAGCAGCCCCGCGAGCCATCATCTCTTCATCGCCCTCCAAGTCCCCATAAGGACCCGGCGGTGGCAAATCGGTTACAAAGTCGTACGTGGCATACTTTCCTTTGGGCATCAGACTATCCCAGAGCTCCCAGATGTGACAGTCAAAGTGCTTGATGCACTCATCCTCTGGATGATGCTGTTTCACCTTCTTGCCAGTCTCTTTGTCTTCTGCTGTGTAGACGAACGGCAGATGGCAGAGGGGGCAGCGATCCAAAGTGCCTTCGGGATGCTTCTTTGCAAAGTGATCCCATATCTGACGAGATTGCAGGTACTCAAAGTTGTTGGCAAAGCAATCGGGAATAGGACACGTCATAGGAGGATCATCGTGGACAAGGGGTCCAGGATAGTCATACCAGGGGAGAGGATATATGAGTTGCCGGGGAGGCTGGCGTTTTCGTGCTGGTTTATGACGGTCAAACAGTTTCTGTTGCTCGACAGGGTCATAGGCGGAGGGGTGCATTGCCGGGAACAGCTTCTTCAGGGGATGCATCTTGTCCTGAGTGGCCCCAGTCTTCTCCTTTGACGCAAGCTTGGTAATGACCTCAGTGAAAATCTTTTCCACGACATCTTTGGATACCATTTGACTTGACCCCTTAGCAGCACTTCTAGGTGGTACCGTGGTTCCCGCTTGAGGTTGCTGGGTATTCAGTCCTCCAACCAGGCCATGCAGCTCCGAGATGATCTGCACAACTCGATCGGGAGCAACACCAATGGGTTGCAAGACGCTACCTCCACAGACAAGAGAAAGAAGCTCCGAAGACAGTTGTAGAATCCTATCAGGGATAGCGCCTCGTGAGGTGCCTGAAGCAAACAGCTGGGTGTTTCCCGTCATGTCGGCCATGGGGGCTCTGGGAGCGTTCTGCTTCCCAAACGGAGGAAACACGTCTTGCCGTTCTGATCTAGGGGCTCTGTTGAACAAGCCACCCAAATTGGTTGTTTGACTACCGGTAGGCCAGCGGGATCCAGAACCAAACGACGACTGGAACGGCTTGGTCTTGTCACCAGCAGGTTGCGTCATACCCAAGGCCCTGATGAGCTTAGCCTGATGGTTCTTGCGCAGGTGAGCCATCCTCTGCTCTGGCGACCACCACTCAAACAGCGGCTCATCACACCACATGCACTTCTTCGCCTGATGGAAAAGCTTGGCGTGCTGCTCAATGGCCTCTGGCTCATCGAGACGGTGGCTGAAGTCGCAGCCCTGGAACGGACACTGCATAGCGCGCTTCAGGGCAATGTTGCGGACACCGAAAAAGCTGTTCTGTAGTTCAGCCTGTTCGCTTGGCGTGAGTACAGCCTTGGTCATCATCGGGACGTTGTCGCTCGTTCGAAAGACCTTTTCTATCGGTGCTGCCGTGATGGGAATGTCTATGTCATTGCAGGATGGCCATGCCTTGGGGTCCCAGCCTTCAAAGATGCCAGGCTGTTCAGCCCACGTTCTGGCTCGGTCGTCCTTGTCCATGGGCTCCATGGGCTTGAAGCGCGAAGTGCGCTCAGAGAAGGTGACCGGTGCGTCTGATGGTCCAGAAGAAACAGATGCAACGTCATCGCCGTATTCAGAATCAGTTACGAACTCGACTCCGGGACGCCTGGCTTCTTGACCGCTAGGCTCGCTTTCCTCTTCGGCGTCCTCTTCGGCGTCCTTTTCAGCGTCCTCTGCCACATCCTCCATAGGCTCGTCATCTTCTCCCCAGAGATCAGCATCAGGAGGGAGTCTTTCTTGGTCCAGACCATCAGTTGGTTCTTCCTGCAAAGGGTCTTCAGGCCCCTGGGTTGTCTCCTCTTCTTCACTCTCTATGAAGACCGGTCGCCTATTACCTCCCGGCGTGCAGAGCCACTCAGGACGATCTCGTCCTCGCTGAGGCTGCGGCTGCGGCTCTGGCTGCCTCTGTCGCCTCGAGCTTGAACTCCCTGAGAGGAATGAAGGAAGCTGAAGTTTGGAGCTCTGGGTAGCTGAGGCATCACGCGGGTTCTGGCCTGTTGACTTGACTGGAGGCTCAGGCAGTGGCCTTGCAGAGGCCTGTAGAGGACCACGACGGGATTTCGGACGCTCGTCTTGATGCCCGAGAACCCTCTTTCCGTGCCTTGAGGAGCTCTCAGGTTGTGTCGACTGCTTCCCCGACCCCTCCTTAGGCTCAGGCACAGGGAGAGCCAATCCACCAGGAGAGATATACGGCGACTTTGGACGATCAAAGATAGGACTCGGTCCGAAATGTCTTCGCGAGGTAAACGCAGACTTTCTCCCTTTGGCCTTGGCCTTGACCGTGCCCTTCAGGCCGTCGACGCCAACCTTGGACTTCTTGGCGAAAGGAAGTTCCTCAGCGGCAGCTTTGGCCTCATTCTTGAGCTGGCGGGGGATCGGCAACGATTTACTGCCGTCGACCTTTTTTATCATGGAGGCGTTGAAGTCAGTCCATGCGTGTCGATACCAAAACCAAGAGCGCTCGGAGTCGTCACTGAATTCCGGTCGTACACCCCAGATGTTGCTCTTGGCGATGCTCCGCCACCAATCCGCCTCAGAAGCCTTGAGAAATGACACCGAGACATCACAAGATGTGATTGCACTTCGAATCGCGAGCCACTCGTTCTCGCTCGTTTCAGTGGTGAGAAGAAAGGCCGGAGATTCCGTCTTGGGGGTCGCGAGGGCGTCCCAAGGAGGCAAGGACTTGAGGAGAATGACATCTTTCGCACGGCGCCAGTCTCTTCTGCGATTTGTGGCACTGCACAGGGTGTCAATCAGCTTGAACAGTGTGCCCAAGCGAGAGTTCAAGGGCGGAAAGTCGGTGTATACGTCTGATGTGGTGGGCCAGGCTGGGAACATCTTGCTCTCTCCAGCTCTCCAGACCGGAAGAATCGACAAGCATTCACCAGTCACGCCATAAACGTCTTTTGCGAACTGCAATCGCTCCTCGAGGAGGTATGGGCGGTTGGTCGGAATCTCGATGTTTTCCAACCTCCCCATCACAATGATCGAGTCCATTCTGGCAATCGTCTCCTCGTTGAAGGCCTCCGTAACAGCATCTTGTATGACTTTGAAGGCATCTTTAAAGGGGGTCACCCCAGCCCAAACTTCGTTCGATAGTAGATGAGGATGGGGGTCTGGGTAGTAGTTGGGCACAACGACAGCCGTCATGCTGTGCGTGCCTTTGCCCATGCCCATCCAGTCCACCATCCAGTCGGCCCCTGGGTTGTTCAGAGGATGGAGTATCTCCCAAACCCACTGCATCTGGCCCATGGAATTAAAAACAATAGGCGGCAAGATCTCCGTGTCCGGCTTGTTCCTGTCCACAAGGCGAAGCAATCCATGTTCTGATGTGAGGGAGCGAGACTTGCCAAGCACGACATCCATTGCCATCCGAAAATTGGCATTGAACTGGTTGCAGCCAAACTTATCGATGGTGAAGGTTGCCGTCTTGGTTTTGGGGAAAGCTATGTAGGCGTAGCTGATGGCATTCTTTCCAGGACCGCTCTTGGCGTCAAACACATGATGACCGATCTTGACCAAGTCCGTTTCAAACTGCTCCGGATGAGGCTCCCAGTGGCGAGGATGTGGCGGGCGCTCCTCTGCGTACGTCGCAAAGAAAGCGCAACAGTCTTCGTGGTCGGTGGTGGTGTCACCGGTGAAGTGCTCCAAGAGATACTTCATGGCGGGGCTATCCTCGGTCAGGTACAGTTCATCGTCTATCGTCGTTGCCTTGTTGGTCTTTCGGTTAAAGTGAACTAGAATGTATTCGATGGGGTCTTCAGGAATGTAGTCGCTGGGGTCGTAAGGAGTTTTGGGACCGGAAACAGGGGACAAATGGTCCAAACGAAGAATCTGCCGAAGAGCTTTCGCGTATGACCGCCACTTGCGGGGGACAAAAGGGACGCAGCCGTTGTAGCCATATAGGTAGATCCATTCGTCCTTTGGAAGAGCGGTAGGTTCGAATTGGGGCCAGTAGTCGCTCTGGATAGTGGAAGTGTCAGGGACCTCGTCGTCAGGAGAAATATAGCCCATGGCATCATCGCCGTCGTCGCCATCGCTTTCATCGTGATAATCATCATCGCCTCCTCGAAGGCCCATAACTGGCTCCTCCTGGGGGACAGATGTGGTCTGCTGGACAGGTCTGTCCTGGTGGGTAGGCGCGTTGCCCGTCGGAATGGGAATCGGCCAGTAAGGAGCTTCCTGGCCTATGCACTGTTAGTTAAACGCATGCCAGACAGTAGACTCATTGACTTGCCTCGCAAACTATCCTTTCCCCAGTTGCGGGCTTGGTGGGCAGAGAGGAAATGCAGCGGGGGCTGAACATTGTACATCGGGACATGTGGTTGATTAAGACCAAATTCATTGACCAGCTCCTCTAGAGGAGACGTCAAGGGCTCAACGGGCAGACCAAAGTATATCATGGTAAGTTTGGACACCAGGTCTCTCTTGACACCGCGAAAGCGCCCCTGAAGCAAGGTGTTGTACCGCTCCGTGTTGGCATCCTGAAGGCTCTTGATGTCGGCACGGTCCGAGGCTAGCAGCATGTGGGCTTCGTGGTAGGTAAAGTGATCCGACAAGATCTTCTGGAGGGTGCTGTCGGACTTGTGCAGCTCGGTAAAGGTGTGGTGCATCCTTCTCCAGTCGCGATCCTGAGGCGTGATGATAGGGTTGACGCGCTTGGCGGCATTTTCAGGCGACACATGGGGAGTCGGTTCACCTGTGCCAAAAGCGGCCGATACCGGTATATCCGCCATCTCGGCTCACAACGACAAAGGGAAGAGGGGAGGTGTGTAGAGGGATCAAGTGGTCGGAAGGTCTATGGTACAATGCGAAGAAAAGGGAGAGAAGGAACACAGAAGATCAAGTTAGGGAAGATAAGTCTATAAGGGACGGCAAAGAGAGTGAAGGCACAAGGTTGGAAAGAAGGGGTGAATGATGGCCGAGGCTGATGGAGGGTTAAATGACAGACAGATCTCTGCCTCCATGGTGAAGTATCCCAAGCAGCCAACTCAGGCTGCAGGGAATACCGTCCCCCTGGCAATACCATTGTTCTTCGGGAGGGTAACCTAGCACATGCTCTCGAGGCTTAGGTATGGTATCACGAACAAAGAAAGAGTGTTTTCTTTGAGGACTGAAAGGGTGGTCTGTGAAGGCATCGGCATTGCCGGTCTTTGAGGTGGGCGCAGTCACAGTAGTAACTGCGGTCCTTCTCCTGTGTCATGTCCGATTGAGGAACTTTAGACCTGATCAAAAGCGAAAGTCGAAATACTTTGCAAGCAGTTGCAAATTATCGCGACGCGTTCACTCACCGTGGTTGAGACAGAACTCGAGGGTGGCCGCTCAGTTGGCTGCCAACGTCTGTGTGCCCACCAACTCGAGTCACCGATCCGGCCGGAAGAGGATCTCAATAAAGCCTGCAACGGTGTAAAATTAGCAATAGTCCAAGGGAGTGCACGTCCTAGCCACATCCCAGCCTCCCTTCAGTTGCAAGTTGTCTGTGCTGCCATGTTGTTTCTTTGTTAGCCGTCACGCTCTTGGTGTGAGCCAAAAGAGGGGAAGGCATCCGACAGCCTTAACGCCAAACAAAGGACATAGAAGGTTCCAGTTGAGTGCCCTGCAGGAATCAATTCAGGCCCCAACATCCTCTGTCATCTCTTTGTCCTCGAGAATGGGTCTTCTGATCAGTCGGATTGCGATCGCGCATTCACGGAGAGGGCGGTGATTGAGAAGTTGAATGAAATGGTTGATTTGAGTATTGTCAGTCAATTGCCGATTGCTGGTCTTTGTCGACCACTGCGAACTCCCGTTGACGGGCCGTTGCGACTGAATTTTTGACAATCATCGGTCGGCATCCGACGTTATCCAGCATGCTGCTTCACCAGTTCCTCCAGTTTCTCTTGAAAGTCGGCAAAGTAATTGATGGCCTGGATGATCTTTCCTTCGCTTGAACCGAAACCACTTCTGGTAAAAGCGAGCCTCCAGGCGCTTTCATTTTTGACAAGAGCACCGTAATCTCTCGTCTCCCAGCTCTTGTTCGCGGGTCCTTGAGCAAAGTATTCTCCTAGCTTTCCATTCCAGCTCGACAGGTCGGTGGAAGCCAGTCCGCGGAGCAGGCTGGGCGAGATGGTGACATTCTGAATGCCTGCAAGCTGCATCACTTCATCGACAGAGGTGAGTGAAGCAGCGAGGACCTGGGTGCGGAAAGAGTGGCTAATGTAGTAGGCTTGTGCCTCTCGACAAAAGTCGAAGGCTTTGTTTTGGTCCACGTACCTACAATTGTCAGCAGGGAACAGGCATGTCAAAGGGAGACATACCCCTCTTCAAAGTGGACTTTGAGTTCATTCACGTAGGGGGCAATGTAAGTGCATTGTGCTTCGGCAGCCAACGCTGCTTGCTCCATGCAAAACATGGTGGTCGCCAGAGTAGCGATGCCTTTCATCTCAAGACTCCGACAGGCTTGGAGACCTTCCCATGTAGAGGGAATCTTAATGCACACCCTCTTTGTGTCAAAGTCGGGTGCCAGTGCTTTGAAGATGTCGATGATTCCTGATAGCATGTTAGCGAGAAGGATCAAACCAGGTCATGGACAAGAGCTCACTGTGGGCGTTGTCAATTGTCCCAGCTGTTGAGTATGACAGCTTAGGGTTCGTCTGTATGTGTACGTAGCCCGTCAAGTTGGGCAGCGTCAATAGTTGCAGTTTGACCATCTTTTCATGTCAGAACGATCTCCATCCTGCGGGAAGTCTCCTTACCAGAATCTCAACCACGAACTCTTCAAAGGTCGTGGCGCCTTGCAGGCCTTTCAGAGCCGCCCGTGCATCTCGAATGGCATCTGCGATCAAAGACTCATGATGTAAGAGGGATTGGCCAGCGAGTGGCCGAGAAACCTCAAAGAACGCGATGGCCTTGGGCCTGTCAGCACCGCACAGTACACACACGGGGTGATGGGGTGACCAACCTGGTTAGAAGTACAATCCACGAAAGGGCCCAGCTCGCGAGCAACTGAATTTACAAGTCAGTTTCTCAATGCCGTCAGAGTATAGCATGTCCGACCAGTCCGTACCGTCACTGTCAAGAGTGTCGCAGTCGACCTGGCTGGTCTGGCGAAGAGCATCGAGGAGAGTCGGCATTGTCAAAAGAACGGCGCTGGAACAATTGAAGCTTGAAATTGATCGCAATGTATTCTTGAGAGTGCTCTAGTCACGTCGAAGCCTCCAAAGACGGAGATATTTGAACGTTTCGAGATCGCCAGGTGAGCCGCATTCGGTGACCCATACTGATGTCGACAGACACCCCACCTTGTTGATCTGGGAGGACATCTGACAACCTCGAGCCGAAAGTCAATCGGTGATTCGCTCGGCTTGGCTTCCCAAAAGGTTCAAAGGCGTCGTTCTCGTCTCCATTGCCCTGACGGTGCGGCTGCGACTGCCATCAGAGGCACCACGCCCATATGCATGGAGCTTGATGTGCGAGAAAGCTCTTCCAGACCCATTCTAGGCTTCCGCTTTTCGAAGCTCCGCTAGTGTCCTTCGCCAATGTCAACCCAGAGGGTCGATCATGTGGTGGAATGCGTGGGTCGTGGTATGGAGGTTGTGTCTTGAGACCCAGAGAACCACTCAACCTGGGCCACGATCAACATCTCTGGAGAACCACCCCGGCACTTGCCGATGGCAGCTGCTGCAGCTGTGAGACGGCAAGATGGGTCCTTTCCTGCAATCATTGCATTTAGCCGGAATCAAGCTGCAGAGAAACACCACGATAAGAAGATGGTGTGCAGGGCGTGAAAGAGACAACAACGTGGGGGCGTCCGAGAGCAAGTGCGGGCACCCACGTGACTAGTCACGTTTCACTTCCCTTTTCCCCAGACACTTCCTGATTGGGTCAACCCACCAAGAAATCTGCCATCAGAGTCGAACCATCCATCCAATCCACGACCAGCTTACTCTACTCACACGAACCTCTTCGGCTCCGCGAGTCGGTTATGGATTGAGTCTCGTCGACCACGGCCATGAACCCATCGCCCGGCGATCATGCGACCACCACGATGCCTCTTCCCCGCCGCGGAGCTCCAGTCCCTGCTCCTCAAGGCTCCGAGGACCGGCCCATCGCGACGATGGATGTCTGCCGCCGCCGCCTTTCCTGCGCCTAGGATGGTCGCTTCCACCTCGTCCAAGTGTGCGCCGTTTTTTCTATCCAACAGGCTCTTTGACCGATCCAATTGCCTCGATTTCGTCATCCTCCGCCGTGCCAATGGCATCTACTCTACCTCTGCCTCGGCATCCGTAACACCCGATTCGACAGTATCGTCAACTACCTCAAATCCCTCCAATTCCTCCCAATCCGAACCGGAGCTTGCTCCTCATCGACGACGACAAGCTGAACGCCGCGAAAAAGCTGCCGCTGCTGCCGCCGCTCGGGGAGAAACCCCTCTTCCTCCAGATGCCTCGTCTCTTCTTACAAGCCATGCCGCTTCACACCCCACCGACTCGCTCCGACGGCACATTTCTACATTTCTCTCTCTCTCGAAACCCCGATTGACGATTCTCGTTGTTCTTACCGCAATGGCTACATATGCGCTATATCCCGTCCCCGAGATGCTCTCCCCGAGTACCACCGAGACTCCGAGTCTGAGCCCGCTCACATTATTATTCCTCACGACCGGCACAGCTCTTTGCTCCGCTAGCGCGAATACCTTTAACATGTTGTACGAGCCCAAGACCGATGCCAAGATGACCCGAACTCGCAACCGTCCACTTGTCCGAGGCCTCATTTCGAAGCGAAGCGCCATTATTTTCGGAGTCCTGTCTGGTATCATTGGAACGGGTGCCCTGTATGTTGGTGTTAACCCCACTGTGTCCGGACTCGGTTTTGCCAATATCGTCATTTATGCCGGCATGTATACACCTCTCAAGGCAGTCACAGCTTTCAACACCTGGGTCGGTGCCGTTGTTGGAGGCATTCCTCCTCTGATGGGTTGGGCTGCGGCTGCTGGCGAGACTGCTACCAAGGATGGCTCCTGGAGGGAGCTTCTATTTGCTAATGACGGCTCGTCCATTGGTGGTTGGGTCATGGCAGGCTTGCTCTTTGCATGGCAGTTCCCCCACTTTATGGCCTTGAGCTGGCCCATCCGTGAGGAGTACAAAAATGCTGGACTTCGCATGCTGGCATGGACAAACCCAGCTCGAAATGGGCGTGTCGCTCTACGATACAGTATCGTCTTTATTCCCCTCTGCATATCGCTCTGCGCTGCGGGAGTCACAGAGTGGTCTTTTGCCGTTACCAGTCTTCCCATCAATGCCTGGCTCGTGCGAGAGGCCGTGCGCTTCTGGAAGTACGAGGGTCATAAGGGCAGCGCTCGGGGTCTCTTCTGGGCCAGTGTGTGGCATCTTCCAGGTGTCATGATCCTTGCTCTGCTGCACAAGAAGGGCATGTGGAGTAGGGTATGGAGGAGCATTTTCGGCGAGGATGACGGTGAGTGGGAAGAGGAAGAGTTGGATGAGATGGTGAGCATGGCCGTGGAGAGCACGGGCAGCAGGTTACAGAGTGAGAAGCCCACTCGGTGATGTAGGATGGACGAGTAAATGGATGTAACAACAATTGTATGAGTGATGGTAGGAATGAGGTATATGTCATGGGCTGTAGTCGTGGTTCTTGTGATGCCGTCTCTTGCACACTACTCATCATATCATGCATCACTGTAGACTACTATGTTAATACCATTTCAAGACATTAGTCTGTAGAGTATCAGGCTAGGATGCCCCGGGAACTATAGACCAATTGATGTTGATCAATCTCAGTGCCTCAGTCATGCAGTATCCATAGTAGCTCAAAGCAGTCACAATACCATATTCAAACCCAGTTGAACGCAGAAAAAGCTTGTATTCCCGATATCGCATGTCTCAATAAACAGTAAAGACAAGGCGCTGCTAGATCAGCCGACATGCTCCGTGCCATGGTATCTCTATCTCTAGTTGTACAAAGGAAAACGTAAGCATTCCCCGTGTCCCTCCTCTTTCGAACCACCGTTTTTGAAAGCAAATGCACACACAAGAGTAAACAGAAAACATTAATGCAGAAAATATCCAACGCCAAGCGCGCACACACACAGAAAAACAAGTAGACAAGAAAACCCAGTCGTGCGTGATCGTCGTTATAGTTTGTCCCAGGAAGCGCCAGAAACACCAAAAACTCGCCCGTGCCGCTGTCCGCCATGCAGTAAAAAGGACTGGAACCGCCAACATGATGAATGCTGGAAACAGATAAAGAAAAGAATGGACGGCGACAGGTGGGGTTTGTTTGTGAGAGAGAGAGAGGTAGATGAAGATGTGTTGGGTGAAAGTGGGAGTGAGAAAGAGAGTAAGGAGAAGGGGAGAGCCATGATGAGGGTCATTAGACATTGGCTCGTGGTCGATTGATGAGATTCCCAATGCCCATATCTGAGCTCTGGGGTCGTTGTGTCGTCAAGTATTGCTGAGGGCTGTTACCCTGATTATGCCCATTCCCAGCATGAGCTGCATACCCATGGCCGGCGCTGGCATTGGAGCTCACGCTCGACGAGTACCCGTGTCCCCCGTAGCCGCCTCCGTAAGCGGCGGCGGCTGCGGCTGCCATGCCGTACTGGGCGTTGCCGAGCGCCGCCATCTGGGCCTGCGACTGCAGCTGGTGGAACGAGGTGGCGGCCGAGGCGGGCACCGAGTGCACGACCGACGAGGTTGTCTCGGGGCTGCTATAGGATGCGTCTAGTTCGTCAACGGGTGTCAGGCCCATGCCGGAGATGCCGCTGTCGTCGTCATACCCTGAGAGAGCGCCGGACTCGAGACGGTCGCGGCGAGCAGCGGCGCGGGCGGCGCTTTGAAGATTCTTGAGGCCATTAGACATGCACTAGAGAATGTTAGTATTGTAAGAACAAAGACACTGGCTACTAACCTTGGCCTCAACAACATTCCACTTCTCGCCTGTTCGAGCGGCGAGTCCACTCCAAATCTCCTTCCTCATGGCCATGTACTCCTTGGCCAGCCGTTGGAGCTTCAGGTTATCCCAGTCATCAGCGCCCTTGCGCTCCATCAATCGCTCGTGGCGCTTGCGGCAAGCGTTAGGGGTCTTTGTGGGAAAGTAGTTGGCCTGGATCTGACCCCAGTTGAGGCCTTGCATCCGAGCCGTGAGCAGCTGCTGATCATCCTGAGGAGTCCATGCTCCCGAGCTCGCTCGGTGCTGCACCGGAGGGGGCACCGACACAGTCGGCGCTGTGCTCGCGTAGGTCTCGTAGGTGGGCTGCTGGGCTTGGGTCTGAAGGGCCATAGAGGAGGTGGCAGTAGTGGGGATGTTGTAGTATGTGGATGGCATGGTCATCCGGTGCTGGTTATACAGAGGAGAAGGAGCAAGAGAAACAGGAAGACCAGGGTTGTAGCGGTTCTGGGGGTTGCTGGGAGCGCGAGTGTGTTTCGGCATGATGAAGAAAAGGAAGAAAGAAATGTAGAGATAGGTAGAAGAGAAGAGGATCCGATAGATGAAGGATCCAGTTGTAACAAGAGATTACGGATTAAGCGTAAGAGAGAGGGTAAGGCCTGGGTCAACCGGCCTGGGTCTGCTTGGTCCGGTCTTGAAGAAGATGGCCCGGAGGTTCAGGTGTGTAAATCGGCCGAAATGAAAAGATTGAGATGCCAAAAGGAAATCAACGATTGGGTTTCGTATCAGAGAGTCAAGGAAATAATAGGAAATCTTTTGAAGCCCAGATGATGAAAGTGACAGATGGAATATCGACCAAAGGAGAATGAACCAAGAACGGAAAGGAAAGGAGAAAAAATAGGAATGATGCTGTATAGCGAAGGAAAGGTTGTCTGAGGAGAGAGGAGAAAGAGGCCATGAGAAGGCCGGATATGAGGCAAGCTTTAAGCACCCCCGCGACGACATCGCAGAGTGGATCGTTCGCCCGCAAAAGCTGAGGCAAAAGATACCATGTACCCAATCTAGCCCTGGGCGGCTCTGACAAGGTTGAGTGAAACAAGGGCAAAGAGGGACGACAGATGGCAATGAAACGGCACACTTGTGTCTAGAGCTAAGAGTATGCTATGAATAGGTCACGGATATTGGTCGGGACATGGCGGCGGCTGTTTGGAGCTCGGCGGTTAGG